CCGACCTCCGCGACCTGCAGAGCGTGCTGACGGCGCCAAAGAGGACGCGCCCCCTGACCTCCTTCTTCCGGGGGTTCTTCCTGAAGCTTTCCGATCCCAGAACTTTGACGCACCTCGAGCGGCATTCCTCCCTCCCTCTCTCGCTCACCATCGCTACACTCCCTCTCCCTCCACCGTCGGCGAGCAAAGACACACGTACATGTGCGCACTCCGCAGTCACGCGTACGCGGATGACCGCGTTCAAACGCAGGCCAGCGGAACCTGACCGCGTTCGTGTACATCTGCGGTCGGTCTCTTCCTCCTTCCTTGTCCGCGGCCGTTCTCTGCTTTCCCACCCTCTCCGCGCGCCTCGCGCTCGGCACGCCCCGCCAGAATCGTCCCCCGCGCCCGCGACCGCTGGTGTTGCCGAGTAGTCCGTATGTCACATATGTTGTTGGCCTCTGACACCGCTCAGCGCTCCAGAGGACGCGCTCGTCAGCGCAGTTCTCGAGGGCGCTGGCGCAGCTGCTGCAGGGGGAGGACGGGCTGCAGATCCTGGAGAAAGCGATGCCGACCGCGCTGGTATGGAGGCGCAGCGTGGGCAGCGACTGGGACGATTTGGCGATTAGGGTAGGCTCGAGGTTCGAGGCTCGAGGTTTTTGGACATCTTCGTAGGGTTCCTGCGGTTTTCCAGCAGTGGGATGCGTTCCAGCGGCTGCGCCACGCCGAGAGCGCTCCAGGGGTGTCCAGATCCGCCAGAGACCCTAGTTTTGATCGAGAACCAGAGGTCCAGGATCAGGGTTGGAGTGGAAGATCAGGTGCAACGTGGGCAGCGACCGGGACCAGATGGTCTGCACGCTGCAGGCCATGCTGGTCTCGCTCTGCAACCACGTCACCATGCTGTCCGAGCGCGAGAGCAACTCAGAGGTCCTGAAGCGCCTTGCCCCCCTCTCGCGCAACATCCAGGATTTTGTAGCCGAGCACGCCCCTCCAGGAGAGGACGTGAGCGCTTTGGCTACCGAGTGGCTGAGCGATGTATTTTCGTATTGCGCGCGGAAGACGGGGCTGAAGGGCGCTATGTCGCTGGACATCCAAGAGTTCCTGGACTCGGGTGCGCGCTACCCCGGGATTGACCACCTGGCTCCCGTCGACAGCTATGGCAGGCCCTTCCAGGAGTGGGTCGATGCGCCAGCAACCGTAAAGAGGGAGTTCCTGCCCAAGGGTGCCATCCTTGGCCAGGGCATGTTCGGCACTGTCTGGCGCGCCATGGACCTGAGGACGAAACAGTGGTACGCCGTGAAGCGCAGCCACGCGCTGAGCCGCGAGGCGTTCATCGGCCGGGATCTCAGGGGAGAAGACACCAATACCGCTAGCACCACTTCCACTCCTTTGTTTCCGCCTGGACGGGTCTCCTGGAGCTCCCTCGTCGCCACGGCTGGTTTCGCCTCCGGAGCCTGGTGTGAGCCGACTTCGGGAGATGTCCAGGTAGTAGCGGAGTATGTATCTTTTCGTTCCCCCCAGGAGCGGGATGTGACCAACCACGTGATGATGAACCCGCACCCGTTCGTGGTGCAGGTCTTCGGCAACTACGTGGTGGAGGGCTCAGCCCGCCTCTCCTTCCTCGTGATGGAGTTCTGCAGCAGGGGCGACCTGCAGAACCGGATTAACGCCGCCCACAAGGGGCCCGGGTACAAGGTGCCCGTGAAGGTGTCGGCCTGGATGGGCCAGATTTTCCTGGGCCTGGAGCACCTGCACCTCGTGCTCGACATGCTCGTGCGTGACCTGAAGCCCGCGAACGTGGTCTTCTCGGGCCACGACCACGCCAAGCTGACAGACTTCGGAATGGGGCGCATCGGCGGCACCTCCACCGGGGCCTTCACCCTGCAGAACTGCCCCCCTGGCAGCCCCGCCTACGCGGCGCCCGAGGTGGTGCTGCAGAGGCCTTACGACCACAGGGCCGACATCTACTCCTTCGGCGTGCTGTGCTGGACGATGCTGACGGGCGGGATCAAGTGCGAGGGGCCGGACTGGTGCCCGCCCAGCCACAAGTTCTCGGCGCACAACTTCACCACCCTGGCCAGGAACCACAAGCTGCTCGAGAAGGCGATCCGGAGCCCTGCCCAGGCCGGCGCCCAGCCGCTGCCCAGCGAGAGGGCGGCGGACCTGATCTTGTCCACGACGCGGCCAGACCCCAACCACCGGCCGTGGGAACACCAAAAGGTACCAATACCGCTACTCCCTGGACCTCTCCTGGGGTGCGCTCTGACGAGGATCTCGCAGCGAATCCAGCGGTGGTGGCGCGGGCCTTCCAGGAGGCCCAAAAAGGCAAGCTCGAGGCCAGGGTAGAGGTATCGGTGCCTTGTCCTCCTCCGAGGCCGGGCCACGATCGGCTGCGCGCCCACGCGCTCATGTCCGCCTTGAGGCTACCGCCGCCGGAGGCGCGGTGGCACCAGGTGGACGAGTGGCTCCAGACGTTGTCCGACTGCGCCCCGCACAGCGGTATGGCGCCCCGGACGGCGGGGTGAGCAGGGGGTGGGGTGGAGGGCCACTACGAAGAGGCGAGGGTCGGATTTTTGTTTGTGGACCACTGGTTGGCTTGCTCGTATCGAATATATGTATATATGTTTACATATGCATCTACGCATACATACATATACGCATGCAGGTACATGTATCTGTCTATATATACGTATGCCTGCCTGTCTGTCTGTCTGTCTGTCTGTCTGTTGGTCTGTCTGTCTGTCTGTCTGTCTGTATGTGTGTATGTATGTATGCATGGATGTGTACGTACGTACGTACGTACGTACGTACGTATGTATGTATGTATGTATGTATGTATGTATGCATGCATGCATGCATGCATGTATGCGTGCATGCATGTATGTATGTATGTATGCATGCATTTATGTATGCATGCATGCATGCATGCATGCATGCATGTATGCATGTATGCATGTATGCATGTATGCATGTATGCATGTATGCATGTATGCATGTATGCATGTATGCATGTATGCATGTATGCATGTATGCATGTATGCATGTATGCATGTATGTATGTATGTATGTATGTATGTATGTATGTATGTATGTGTGTATGTGTGTATGTGTGTATGTATGTATGTATGTATGTATGCATGCATGCATGTATGTATGTATGTATGTATGTATGTATGTATATATATATATATATACATGTCTGCGTGTATGTATGTATGCATGATTGTATGTATGTATGTATGTATGTATGTATGTATGTATGTATGCATGCATGCATGCATGCATGTATGTATGTATGTATGTATGTATGTATGTACGTACGTACGTACGTACGTACGTACATACGTACGTACGTACGTATGTATGTATGTATGTATGTTTGTATGTATGTATGTATGTGTGTATGTGTGTGTACATGTATACACATTTTTTAGTTGTTTCTCGTTTCTCCCAGCTCGCTCCTTGCCGCCGCCGCCCGCAGCAATCAAGGCTGTATTTGAGGAGCGCCTCTTGCGGGCACCTCGGGCCCGCCGGCGCGAGAGTGTAAAGGTTGTGGATCGTCGTCGATCTCGTCGCCGTCCCTCCTCCTCTCTTTTGTTTTCTCGGCCCCTCGGGTTTCGGACTCTATAAGGGGGAATCTTCGTGCTCAAACTGTGCTGTTCGGCCCCGAGCTACAACAACAACGGCTCCGGCCTGATATTTCCCCATTATTGATTCTAACTCAGGCTTTCGCGCAGGACTTCTTCACACTTTGTGCAGGAATCGCGCTCTCGCGCTGGGCACCCTCGTACTTGATTCAGACGCCGCGCCCGCGATGCTCAGGAATCACGCTCATCCCTTGGCTGTTCGCACCATTCACTTTGGAATGAATCGCGCTATCGCTCGAGATTTCCTCGCGATTCATGCAGGACTCGCGCTTCGGCCACCCGCCTGCCCGACCTGGCCGCCTGGGCCCGTCTTGCCTGCCGACCCGCCCGCCCGCGAGGGTCTGCCCGCCCGATCTGCCCATCTGGTTCTGCCGCGTGTTTTCTGCCCCGAGCCCCCCTCTGGCTCATTTCTCTCGTGCTCCATTTTTCTCCCTCCCCCTTCCGCCCGTCCTCTCCCTCTCTCTCTCTCTCTCTCTCTCTCTCTTTTTTTAGAGAGGGGGTTCCGCTAAATGCGCGTGGCAGATAAGGAAGAGATGCCCCAAGGGGTGCGATCGAAAAAGTGACGAGGGCGGGTACCGAGGGTTTGGGCGGTACGTGTTGGGTGGCACTCGGGCAGAAAAGAGCGAACAGTCTGAAACTGATGATTGTTGTTGTCGTTGTAGTTGTAGTAGTTGTTGATGTGATTGTTGCTAACAATCTTACACTGACAATTGTTGTTGCTGCTGGTGCTGTTGCCGTTGCTGTTGCTGTTGATGTTGTTGCTGCTGTTGTTGTTGTTGTTGTTGTTTTTTATTGTTGTTGATATTGTTGTGGTTGAATTATCATTCGTGTAAAGTCTTTATTGTTGCCCCCCCTTCCGGTGACCATCGTTTTTTCAACTAAGAGGGCTTCCCCAAGGCTCGTACCCTGTTCTTATCAGGGAAAGTCACGGGGCTCAAGCTGTGTTGTTGGCCCTCGGATAGCAAGAACAGCGGCACCCGCTGGTTACATCCTCACAACTTATTCCCAAATCGCGCTCTCGCGCGGGACGTCCCCACAATTTGCGCAGGAATCGCGCTCTCGCGTGGGGCTTCCTCACAGCTTATTCAGACGATGCATGGGTCTGCCCACCCGATCTGCCCGCCTGGTTCTGCTACGTGTTTTCTGCTCCTTGCCCCCCTCCTGCTAATTTCTCTCGTGCTCCATTCTTCTCCCTCCCCCTTCCACCCGTCTTGTCTTTCGTTGTTTTAGGGGCTGCGTTAAATGCACCTGGAGGGTAAGGAAGATATGCCCCCAAGGTGGTACGATCGAAGACGACGAGGGCGGGTAATGTCAGCTTGCGAGTAACACAGCCACCCCCTTGGGGCTGATGAGTAGACCCCGCGGGGCGCGATACATTTTTTTAATCACGCGCGCCAGGGGGTCGTCGCTGGCGCCGCCGAGGGATCGTGTACCCCCCTGCATGGGAGCCTCAAAATGATTGATTTGTGTATAGAAGTTGTTCTAGGGGTCGTACACATCCGAGATGATTTTTTCCCCCCTCTCAGGCGTCGTCGTCGTCGTCGCCGCCGTCGTCGTCGTCGTTTTCGTCGTCGTCTTCTTCGTCGTCTTTGTTGTCGTCTTTGTCGTCTTTGTCGTCGTCTTTGTCGTCGTCGTCGTCGTCGTCGTCGTCGTCCTCGTCGTCGTCGTCGTCGTCGTCGTCGTCGTCGACGTCTTCGTCGTCGTTTTCGTCGTCGTCGTTCACGACGTCGTCGTCGTCGCCGTCGTCGTCGTCGTCGTCGTCGTCGTCGTCATCGTCGTCGTCGTCGTCGTCACAGTCGTCGACTACAGCGGGCCTGCGCAGCACCCCGCAGGACCCCCCCCCCCGTAGGGCATGGGCATCCGCAGTGCGTCGTCGTCGTTCGTCGCCGCCGTCGCCATCTGCCGTCCGCCGTCCGCCGTCCGTCGTCCTCGTCCTCGTCCTCGTCCTCGTCCTCGTCTTCGTCCTCCTCGTCCTCGTCCTCGACCTCGTCTTCGTCCTCGTCTTCTTCGTCGTCGTCGTCGACGACGGTTACAGACCACGACAGGGGGGGAGGATAACTACCGCCTTGTTAGGGTCGGACGACAGGCTGGGGAACGAAAGGGGGGTTTGCGAAACCTGCTGCGCGCAGCTGGTTTCGGTCGCCCCGCCAAGGGGCCAGTCCTCGATGCATGGCCGCTTTCGGCGCCAGGGGGCGCTCGGAAAATCAGCAATGTAGGCCGCTGGGCACAACCCCGCTTGGCCACGCCCCCCTTTCGTCCAGCCTGGCTTGCTCACGGGCCCGCGAGGCAGCTGGCGCCCCCTTGGCTGCGACCAGGGCGGACGAAGGAAACGCATCGGATCGACAGCAAATGGCACGCAAAGTGCGGGGCGAGCGCCGACAACAGTTCTTCCTCATTTCGAACAGGGGTCGCCCTGGCTCACGGTCCCTGCTTCTGCCGCCTTTGCCTCCCGGCCCCCCCCCTCCCCTCCCCGAGTCTGTGCTGCCTGTCCCCTTCCCGCCGGCGTTTGGGCGTCGGCGCGAATCACTGGCGCCGCCGTTGTGGATTTTCGAGCTGGCGGGCGCCAAGCCGCGCTTCGCCCGAACAGTATGTATGTGTATGTATGTATACATTTGTATGTATATGTGGATGTAAATGTAAATGCATATGTACATGTATATGTATATGTCAGTATACATATATGTTTATGTTTATGCACATGCATCTGTATATTACATGTCTATATACATGCGTATGCATATGTATATTTATATTTATATGTATTTGTATATGTATATGAACATATTTTTGTGTATGTCCATATATATGCCTATGTATGTATGTATGTATATCGTGATGTATATGTATATGTATACATATGCGTGTATGTATATGTATATGTATATGTTTATGTGTATGCACATGTATATGCACATGTATATGTATACATATATGGGAGATCCCGGGCCCCGGGCCCCGGGCCGGAACCTCCCTTGTATATAGGGTGCGGCCCTCTCCCGGGGCGCCCTTCCGGCGGCCCCCGCGCGTTCCAGCCCGCCCAAGAGGGCTCCAGGAGCGCCGAGAGAACCCCAGGATCGCTTCAAGACCGCCAAAGATCGCTTCCAGAAGGGTCAAGAGGCGCTCAAACCGCCCCAAGAGGCCTTCAAGAGGCCCCCCACGAGCGCCCCGGGAGACCAAAATAGCCCCATTCCCTTCGTAAAACGTACATTTTTACGATATCAGCTCCCTTAGCTGTCGGAGCGGCCAGAAAGCCCCACGAGGCGCCCAAGGACGCTCCAGGACGACTGAGGACAGCCCCAAGACGGCCCAGGAGGGCCTCCCGGGACGCTCCTCCGGCGGCCCCCGGGCTGCCCAGTCCGCCCAAGAAGGCTCCAAGAGCGCCGAGAGAACCCCAGGATCGCTTCAAGACCGCAAAAGATCGCTTCCAGAAGGGCCAAGAGGCCATCAAACCGCCCCAAGAGGCCTCCAAGAGGCCCCCCAAGAGCGCCCCGGGAGACCAAAATGGCCCCATTCCCTTCGTAAAACGTACATTTTTAGGATATCAGCTCCCTTGGCTGTCGGAGCGGTCCGAAAGCCCCACGAGGCGCCCTAGGATAGCCCGAAGACAGCCCAGGAAGGCCTCCCGGGACGCTCCTCGGGCGGCCCCCGGGCCTCCCAGTCCGCCAAAGAAGGCTCCAAGAGCGCCGAGAGAAGCCCAGGATCGCTTCAAGACCGCCAAAGATCGCTTCCAGAAGGGACAAGAGGCCATCAAACCGCCCCAAGAGGCCTCCAAGAGGCCCCCCAAGAGCGCCCCGGGAAACCAAAATGGCCCCATTCCCTTCGTAAAACGTACATTTTTAGGATATCTCATCCCTTGGCTGTCCGAGTTGTCAGA